TAATGTCAGAAGCGGTGTCGAGTTGCAGGCGGGCACGCTTTTTATTTATATCCAAGTTTACATACTTTCTTTGGCGGCAAATTCGTGCTCGATTATGTGATACCAATATTTTGTTAGTTCGAGCACTAAATCTGTATTTCTTCGAGTAGGGTTTCAAAGAATGTCGTTTATGGGTTCTTTTTCTGCAGCAGTTTTCTTTATGTCCCTTGCGATGACACTTGCTACAACAATGTTCTTTATATGGGCAGAAACTTTTATAATGCCAACCACCACAAGACCAACATGGAGATGAAGGCTGATTATCTGTGTGCGATGCCTTTCTTGAGCACGAATCGTTCTTTCCGCTTACAGCACGAACGTATGGCGACTGGCCATTATTTTCGACCATCGAAGTGTCATGCTTTAGGTTCACCAATCTCTGGCACTCTGCGGTTACTTCTTGTAGTGTCATATTCGGACATTGTCCAATCTTACTCAAAATTCTAGTTCTAATATCGGCATCTTCGGGAGATTGGAGGCTGCACACAAATACGAGACACTTAAACTGGTCTTCTGTCATTGCTGATAGTTTGAAACGCTCACATTCACGGTTTACTAAACCCGCATGTTTCACCCAGTCATCATCACCTGCTTTTGTCATCTTGAGACATTGATAACGAATATTAAACAAGGATGACTGTTCAGCAAAGATTTGCGACAAAATTTCAATCGTTGCATCAAAAGAAAAATCTCTTGGATTCTTTGGAAGGATAAAGTTACTGTAACGTTCATGTTCAACAGTTCCAAGCTTTCGCAAGAGTATTCTGACCTTAGCGGCGTCATCAAGTTTTTTCAGGTCGACCTTGAACAAATCTTCATATTTCTTGAACCAAGTTTCAAAAGTAATGCCAGCTGAACCATCAAAATTAAATTCATGGATAGAATTAACAATCTGGTCAACATGAGATTTGAAGGGATCATCTGTAACTTCTTTTTGATCCAGGTTCATTTTCTGAGTTAGCATCTCTATCATGCGCGTCTGGAACTGTTCAAAACGTTTTTCTTGGCGTTCCAATAAGGCTTCAAATTGTTCAAAGATAAATGACATATTGGTACAATAACCCGTCGCCAGATGTTATAACTTGAAAAAGCTGATCTTTCTTGATACTACCGCGTATAACTGAGCACTAGAACACCAAACCCTTCCAAGTCGCAAATAAGAAGACAGAAGACTAACGAAAGGAATATTATTCCAAACAGTGTCAAACATAGTACAAAATTGTCAGGTATTTATAGTTTTTAGTGAGAACGAAATCATCATTACAGTCTTCCAATCCGCGTGCAGGGGGTTATTAGCGTTATCCAATGGGGAAGCTACACGTTGGAATTCTAGAACATTCTTCCGCAAGGTGATTGGATGGAACGTCTTCGGCTCCTTATGAGCCTCTTACAGCTTCCTCGAGTTCACCGGTGGTCCGTCGTCACATTAACAAACTTATTTCTCTTAAGCACATAAATGCTATTAAAACTTGTTAATGAAGCATCAAGGCTCATCAAGAAAACGATCCGTATCCAGACCACAAGATGCAGATGATCCTGATTGTTTTGGCACCACATTAAGTATGGTAAGTCTGTAGCAGCTTAGGTTGGTTGGTTAAGAGTTGACCCTAAACAACCAAGCATATGCCAAAACAGTATTGTTCAAGTATTCATTCACTTCCTTATTTTGTATAAGCGTTATATTCCCTAATATCTTATATTGAATGTTGAGAGCCTTTGTTTGTCTGAACAGATAATCCAACGCTCCACTGTGACTGCGCGAAGATCGAAATAAAGACCTATTCACTACTTCTCTGGTTTCTATCAATAGCACGAGGGTTACCTTAAGGCACGAAAAGTCTTCCAGAGATTGCAGAAAAACACTTCAGTTTTCCTAAGGCCAAACCTATTACGATGAACCATTTAAGAAACATCCCCACCGACAAGCTTTAGTAGAAACTGCGAACCTGACCGTCTGTAATGCATCACTGATTTGATGATGAAATTTCGCCACCTCATTGACACTGGCTCAGAAATAAGCGTTTTTCCCGCGAATTCGAAAGATTATTTGCACGAACCGGTCTTCAAACTAAAAGTAAAATATGGGAAACTGGTCGCCACATACGGTAGCGGATACATTTATTTTAACATGAGTTTACGCAAACCCATTCTCTGGATTCGTGTTCGCGCAAACATTCATGCCAATCATTGGCACAGTCCTGCTACAACCTAACCTACGCAAAGACACAAGCAAACAGCAGTTAGCTTGCATAAGTACTGATCTATCTGATTGTGAAACTTCATTTTCTGGTTGTAAGTTACGCCCAGTCACAGTAAGTCACACGATCGATCCATACTATCAACAAATATCCGATAAGCAACCCGAGATATACCAAACGCGACTACATACCAGGACACCAGAGTATCAACCAGTATCGTAGTAGACGCGTGGTGGCATTGGGCCTTATCCACAAAATCCTTAAAGCTGAACACGAGACAACTGGGAGAATACATAATCAACATTTAACGCAGAGAAAAACCCAACGATGTGGAAGGCGGGAACGGGCAATAGAAAGGATTCGAATTGACCAGATGACATGACTCAGACTCGCAGGCGTGGTCACTATCGAGCGTAGTAACATAATATTCTGTCCATATTAAATATATTGTTCTATATCCAGCCTAAATGTGTCCTTCATCATATGTTGATAATTCTTATTACGCAATGAGTTGGTGTAGACAATGATGTGGCTTCCACGTAAAACATTATATATTAGGCAGTTGTATCACTACAAATCCGCAATTTTAGGATCAGGTCTATTATTAGAGCACTACTAATATCATAGTACATTTCAATTCTACAGATCTAGTGCCTCGTCAATATTATTATCACCGTTTGTTCCTCAACAGTTGGGCTTCGTTATAATATATTTCCTCTGAATTGTTGGTATTTCAGACCTCCTGATCAGGACTATGAGTTTGCTCCTAAACAACCCCGTGATATGCAAATTCGCGTGATATCGTAGCAGGCAGCAGTTCACATCGTAATGAGGTATCCTAAATTCACAGACGAATAATTATATAAGCTGTTAGAATTTTACTCAATATATCTGACTTTAATGATCTGATACCAGACAACGCTTTTGCGAACCTTCACTTTGGGTCGAGTTTGAAGAAATTTTCTAATTTACAATAGTTCTTCAAAGAGATATAGGTTACCGAAATAATACGTATATTTGGGCATAACATGATAACAGTTGCCGGCTAGGCCACATGCAAGTTCATACCTTTTTTGCTACGACAGGATATCTCAAGTTTTACTGTAAGGCCCGATATAATCTAGTTGGTCGATTTTAACTCATTGCATTCAGATGCTCTCAAACCTCTCTTCATTTTGAAGTTTTCCAAAACTCAGTTGGAACGCTAAGCGCGTTTCGTCGTGTTCGGGGATGTAATTTGAAGTACACAAAAGTAAGAGCGCAGCCTTGTTTTGCACATCAAAACCTTGTGAGTTTGAAAGGGTAGGGTGTGAAATCTACAGTGATTTTTCAGCTATAGAAAGCTGACTGTATGTCTTTACTGGATCAGTTATGAAGTGAGTAACCATGACTCTCAAACTAGCATACGGAATAGAGGGTAAGGGTTTGAGTTGAGCCTTACAGTAGTTCTCTTATAACCGCCAGTACGACCAGAATCGTCACTATCGGAATAGTGGATACAAGAACAGAGATGGCGTTCATGAAGGATTAGCTTCATCTAAACTGAAAACGCCATATCCGTTCATAATCATTGCTAGCCTTTTCTGGAGTTGCCCTGCGAAATTTTGAAAACACAGGTTGTCCCGTAGAGACAATGTTTTATGACATCGCTTTGCCATCACTTGGTAGAGTTATTGATACCTTAGAGTTACATGTTAAAAGTACGCTTCAAATGCGTACTAGATTATTTGTGGTTATGAAATGCAACAGGAAAGTAATACTAAGCAAATAAATGATTCACTATACTTGTGCTCTGGACTATTTAATCTCGCCCATGAATAAGTTTCCATTTTGAGGCAAACCCTTTTATGTGTCAAAGATGTAAACACCTGCCGACACTAAATGTATTCTTTTATATAGAGCGATAATTTACTACCTATTACTAACAGACTAAGCACTGTACCACCCCGACAAGCGGTTTAGGCTGAAATAAAATCACCATCTCCTGCATGTGCGTCAGCAAAGTCATCAAATTCCCCTATAAGATCAACGAAATATAAAAAATGTTTGAAGATTCGGAAAACGCATATGGAGGGGGGTTAACTTTGAGTCCGAAGTCTTCTTGCAGTGTTAGCGATAGGACTTCGCTGCAGTACTTTTACTAAACTATTGGGAGTGACTTATTCTTCGTCAGGAAAAGTATCTTTCCGGTGACCGGTGTAACTATGAAGTTTGAGAAAACCTTTAATCACTTCGGGATCAAGCGAGAAAGATACCAACGTAGCACAAGTTGCTAACTTTACTTTCGCAAATTATAAGGCTTTTTTGAAGGAGTTCGCGTTGGTATACTGCAATTGGTGGTTTCGATATTACGATATTTCTATGACCCATCACATACAAGAGCGAAGAAAATTACTCTATCGCAAATGCAGAAACCGAATATGGTAGAGATTCGATCTGCACTATATAGAATGCCGGTAATTTTACGCGGATCTACCACCCGTGGACAGATAAATGTTTTATGCGTGACAAACAAACACGGAGCCAATTTAGTACGTTTACAGGTTCGTTTCGCTAGGATATCAATTACTCAGTTAGTTTAATACAAGATATTGTGTTCAAACCTGTTCGTGCCTTTCTAGAAGCCTTGTTGTGTTTAGGTAATGATGAGGATTGAAAGAAAAATATAAATTGCTGATGTTAATGAATTGAGGTCAAACGTATTGGACATTGAATAGATCCTAAAAATAACACTTTCAAAAGTGTTACGAGTTTCTGTTTCTAATGCCTCCTTGGCGCTTATACTTTACTTACGTTTCCATAACTATTGGTAGTTCTTTCGTATTCGGTTATCATACAGGAGTTATCAACGCACCATTATCGGTAGGCCTTCAAAAATGATGAAGATATTTTCAAAGCTCATCCAAAATTTTACGCAGAAAGTTATTGATGAAAGACGATACACATGTGGCTCTTCATGCGTGAGAGTGATTTTGTCAATATGCGTAACGGGATTCGTTATCGGCGGGTTATTTGGGGGCCTGTTTGGTGGAGTTTTAGCTAACAGACTTGGTCGGTATGTCTTTAAACTGTAAATGACTTTAAAATTTAGAAGAAAAACATTGTTTCTTCTTTCCATTCCAACAATTTTAGGATCTGTACTCATCATGGTTTCGGTGTGCTTGAGATCATTCGAGGCTATCATATTCGGAAGGTTTATAGTTGGTCTTTCTGCAGGTATCCGTTTTGAAATGTTTTCAAATGGTTTTTTAGGTGCTTATACAGTTGTAACACCTACATACCTTTCGGAGATTGCTCCAGTAAAGTCACGTGGTGCGGCAGGGGTTATGAATCAATTTGTTACAGTGCTGGCCATTCTTTTATCACAGGTCCTAGGTCTGTCTCAAGTAATGGGGACGGATAAATTCTGGCCATTCTTGTTGGGTAATAATATCATTTTTATGATCCCGTTTCAGGTCTTTGTGCTCCTGTTTGTCTTTTGCATGTGATACTCATGACCTTTTGTCCTGAAAGTCCTAGCTACTTGTATTTAGTAAAGGGAGACAAAGATGCTGCAAAACATGGTACTTTTTCGTTAGTTAAACTCTTTAAACACTGTAGCTCTTTTGTTACTAAGAGGTAAGAATTATGATGTCTTTATGGAGCTTGACTCATTTCAACGAGACCCGGAATATAACACTAAACAATACTTTGGAATGGGTAACTTATTTCGAGTTCAACATCTCCGATGGGGTTTATTTGTTGCCCTTATTCCACATTTCGGGCAGCAACTCTCAGGAATCAATGGTGTAAGTTATTGATTGATTACTTTTGCAATTATGATATATAATTTAAATTTATTCTAAATGATAACAAGTAATTTAACTTGAAAGCGTTAATAACATATTTTAATGAGCATCACTATCAGATTAGTTTAGATACTGGCTATTTAATTTCAAGTTGCATAACCTAGTGTGATAATTAGAAGTATTTGAATTTTTAGACGAACCAGGAATCTAAGAGTCAGAGCAATTTAAACCTCACAGAACTGTGTGAGCACAGACAAACGTACTGTATTTAAAACCCAAAATCAGACAAACATCGAGTACAGAAGAATCATTAGTTCGCACAAACGCCACACCAGGCTAGCTGTTTCTTTTCTTGTTTGTTCAAGATTCGTCACCAGTCAAGAGAGTCATCATTTTATACAAACACTTTTGCGACTAGACTAGGCATGTAGAGCATAGATTTGTTTGGATGGTTTCACAATTAAATTCTATAATATTTCTATTACGACGTGAACATTGGAATCATGTATAAGTAAATCTTGATTTGCAGTAATCGGCAAATAAAGACTCTTAGAAGTACAAGAAACCAAAGTTCATTGTATCAGTCAGTCGTCATTTGCAGGAAAGTACATATTAACCAATTTTATCCCTACGCAAATGGATCAAACGATTATTTTTTATATTCGTTGGTATAGTTTCAAATTTATGTATTATTTAAAGGCCATATTTTTAGTCATCACGGTGTCAACATTGTCATTATCAGCTTTTACTACAACTAATAAGATATCAAAGTTTAATGTTTAGTGAAGTTTGAATAAAAATTGCTATGTCATATGATGGGTCAAGTTATAATACACATCTTGGTTAATCACTTAAATTTTTGAAGGTAAAATATTCCGACACTTTGTCTCGTATTAACAAATGTGTTTAGAAAACTGTAGAAGCCTCAAAGTTTATTTTATGAAGCCGTGATATTTAAAACCTGATATTTCTGCGGGTCATAAATAAATCAGCTTGGTTTATTAATTTGATCATCAACTTAATGGTCTCATTCTCATCTTTCCGCTAAAACCTTTCAGACACATTTTAGCACATCCACTTTCTTTTTATAAATAATGAATTTAAAATACACATAAAACATCAAAGTCATTTAAATTGAAACATACAGAATTTTATGATTAAAAACCGGCATCCGATTGTCCCACATTTTGATTGCCTTTCATCTTAAAATAATTTTTGTATTAACAGCTTATCAAAGTTAATCTACCGTCCTGTCTGAGACTAGATTTTTGTTTAACGCAATTAATGCCCATACATGAAACAACTGATAAAAAAGACAGTTTCCCAGAAATCCTGAGATTTGTTAATAGCAAATAAGTGTATAAATGACATCAAACAGAAGCATAATTTTATGTTTTATTCTTTCTCAGTCTAGGGAAAAAACAAACTACTTACAAAGCCAACAAAGTGGGCTGCGGATTTGACTACTTGCCGTGGTAATAGAGCTGACATGCAATACGATAGCTATTCTAATGCCTTTATGCTTATTTGTCGGCTTGCATCGCGAAAAGTTTTAATTTTGACAATCATTTTTTATTAGTTAATTAACTGAAAATATTCTATTTCTCTGTATACAGAAAAAATAGAATTTATATTCCACCTCATACATCGCTTAGCCGTTTAGATAGTTGCAGAAGTTATAAAAACTTATTTCAATCTAAAGGTTTATTTCTTATGAGCAGGTGAATATTTTATTGTGCATTTGTGATCAAATATAAATGCATTTTATTTGAAACTCATTAATTACACCCACATAAACTAAGGAATTGTATTAGTAAAGGGCTGTTTATATGTCTCATCTTATCCAACAAATTATCAGTTTTGTTGGTAATGTACCGCTTTTCGTTCTTTTGAGTACGGCATACATTTTCAGTCTTTTTACTCACTTTCTGAACCGTATTCAAACGTTCATTATATTGCAATGATATTTAATTACATTAGTTTCTAACTGAATAAATGTTTGTGAGTGCTTTGAACGCGTTTTATGATTATACTTTAACACATCACAGGATGATGAAACCAGTCTAACAAAACAAAATAAGTAGAGGTTATATTGTCTATATAACTTATCTTTCTCTCTCGAATTGTTAAACGTTCATCTTAGTAAAGGTGTATATAACTGTTCAAACCATTCGCCGTTTCGAGGTTTGTCAACGGATTAAGCTCAGTAAGAGAGTAATCAGGTTTATGTCATGCAAAGTTTGATTCAAGACAATACGCAGATTTATAAAAACCCTCTTTGCTTGAATTAATATTAGACCTCTTTTATTTTTTTAACTTTAGGTTTTGTATTACTCTGTTCCACTATTCGAAAGTGTTGGCCTAACCAACAGAGACGCAAGTTTTGTCAATCTTGGGGTTGGAACAGTTATTGTGTTAGGAACAATTATGTCAATATGTGTTATTGACAGAGGAGGCAGACGAATGCTATTACTCGTTGGATTTTCAGTATGCTTAGTCAGTTTAATTACATTCACAACAGTTTTGTCAGTTCAGAAGTTCAGTCATACATCTTGGTTAACCTACATTTCTATTCTTGTATTATACCTATTTGTTTCAGGATTCTCCTTTGGCCCAGGTATATAAACAATTTTTTCTGTTACTTAATCATCTGATAAAAACTGAATTTTAATCAAGGGTGTCTGTCAAAAAGCTAGGGCAACTTATCTGGGTAACATACAAAACCAATAAACAACATTGTGTACAGCTTATACGTAAATACATAACTTTTTCATGGTAACTTAAACGTATGAAAATAACAATAATTTTGTTTGCTTATAACATCTGCTACTCTTCTATAAAGGTCGTTATCTGCAATTAGAATACTGTTTATGCGAATGTTAAATTTATAAATTGCATTAGTTGCGTGCTTACTTTGAGGTCTTATTCCAATTTTCGCAAACCTGTTGCAAAATTTTGACATCAAAGTAAGCTTCACCGTCTGTGTGTTATAAAACACCAACAAACCAAACAATGTTGATTAAAAATTTAAGATCAGTTCATAAAACATAACGTCATCCACTAACTACCCCTAAATATTTGTATAGAACTGAAGACAACGAAGTAATAAAGTAATTTGGTTTTTAAAACTGCTATCGCTGGTAAAAATGTGTCCGACAAATGCACGTTTCAAGATAACAAAAGTGTTGTTTTGAATGAAACCAACGCAGTAACTGATGCAATTATATTTGTCTAACGTTGTTATTCAAATTAAGGTAAATATAAAGCGAAAAGAATCTGGTCAAACAATGATGTTTTGTGGTTCCGGAATAAAGTGTGCTTGTTAAGCGTAAACTTAAAATATGATGTGAAGTACACGGGAAAAAATCTGTCAGTTTTACTGTTGTTAACAAGATCAAAGAAAAAAATTTTCCACAAGCATCTGCTTGAATAGTTGACACTGCAGGACACTAATTATTGACGAAGTTCTCAGTAATATTTTTAATGTTCCATCAAATAAACAATTAACCTCACTATAAAATTCCACCCAGTTGTAGATTAAAGTAAGAAATTTACTAGATTTCACTACTTCTTATGATGCCTGTGATCACTGTCACTTGTATACAACGAATAATTGTTGATTTTATCTTTATAATTTCACCCCTCACGATTTATGATCTTTATTATATTTTCCGGTTACATTCTTAGTTCCCCATTAAACAGAGTCAAATAGTTGTTGAAGTTAGTAGTGTTTAAATTAACTCTGAAAGTTTGTTTTCAAAATATCTGTTTATTGGCAGTGGAGTAATTCATTAAAAATTTATTGCTTTCCAACAGAAATCAAAATGTTAATATATGTCAGCATGTTTACAAAATGTGAGGACACTTTAACATTTATTTAGATATCCAGGTTCAAATAAATTTTATATAAGTGAATTTGGTACTGAAAGAAGATACTTTGTCGATAGATTGGACGGTTCAGTGAAGACAAGTTTCTTTTCTGTGATTTTATCAACAGCGGCCGTATTGTAGTGAATGAAGGCTCGGGTGGGAAAGGCCAATTTATTGTTTAGTGTGAAATTACAGTGTCTTCATAAATTATGAAAACCATACATTAAATACTTCATTTGTACATCTTTCATAATTCTCTCAATCCTCGATTCCTTTATGTTTCCAGTTTTGTTTTCTTTAGTTCAATCTTAACCTTCTTTCGATAGACATTCCATTTCTGATCGGCGTTACGTACTACTTATATCCGTCGACACAAGTAGCATACATCACAGTACCATCGTGTTTACAGCTATTTAACACAAAAATTAATTGAAAAAGGAACTTTATTACTAAGTGACTAGAAATTTCATATATAGTGCTTTAAACGGTCCTGCGAAAAGTTTACGGTTGTTTTTTAGACTAATATGAGTAAGGTAAAGAAAAACCCTTTGATAGCTGATCAATAATTATTGAAAATCGTAGAGTAACATCAGCTGATTAGTAAATATGGAAAATAGTTGAATAACCGTATCCATAAAAATTAGTGTGAGTCTAAAGGCGTGAGATATCTAAAATTGCCGATAAACAGAAGTTAGTGATCTGTAATCATATAACAGGTGAAAATTAGCATTTATCAAATATGCACATTTTAAAGCAAGCGAATCGCTTGCTTAATATAACTTGCCTTTCTGCAGTTATAATAATCTTATGGAATTTTCAGGCTCTGTTCCTTGGTTCCTCGTGGCTGAACTATTCACTCAAGAATATAGAGATGCTGCACAAAGTGTGGCTGTGGGTACAAATTGGTTGTGTAATATTCTGGTTGGACTTCTTTTCCCTCAACTACTCGTAAGTTTCGATAATGTTTAAAAAAGATGTTTAGTGAACAGCCTTCCACCTTAAATGTTTGTCAAATGTTAGAAAATCATAAACAGAACTTTTATATATTAATCTGGGAATTATAAAACTATTTGCTGAATAAATTTACCTGAATTTATGAATTATGACTGAAATGAGATGTTGACAAAAAGTATATTAAAAGGCATATGCATATTTATAAGCGGAATCCTGTACGAATCATCCTTTAAATACGTCATTTGGTTTAGGATATGAAGTCTGCTTCCAATCAATCTATTACAAACATGACATATAGTTCTGTCTCAACATGGTTCAATGTTAATATGGGTATTTCCTTCACTTAATCATGTGGTCGAATTGAGAGCCTAGTTTAATAAGCTTGGTTTACCAAAGAGATGTTCTCGGGCACTCCTCACCATACAGCTTTCCAAAAACAGGAGTGTGTGAGAATCGATTCAACTTTATTTTTTATAAATATGTTATGACCGTGGACCTCAGTTTGTATAATTTGAAGTTTCTGTACGATATGCATTCATCAGTTCTGATCATCCATTTACGTTTGGTTTAAGAAATAAGTGTATTTATTTAATTAAAGGATATTATTCCAGTTGCATCCTACCAATTATTCATCTTTGTATAGATTTCTGGGTTCAGGTATGATAATTTGTTTGTTGTGAAATCACCCTAATAAATCAATGTTATGTGAACATGGTTAAATTTTCAACTTAATCTTTTCCCATCTATAAATAACACATTTTGTAAATCAATGTAACGTTTTGTTTACATATGTTCAAACAACATTGAAAATCAACTAAATAATTGTGTATGTGAACAAAATTATTTGCATCCTAATATTTTATTACACAAAGATATTTCGAATTTTTAAGTTTTGATTTCTAGGGCCATATATGCAGAAATCAGCCTTGTATATATATATATATATATATATATATATATATATATATATATATATATATATATTTAGCACTCTGAAAAAGTATCGAACTAAGTATTATTAAAAATTATCAGAGCCCTTTTATTTTGACAGTTGATAAATTTGAAACAATCGAAGAATTACTTCATGAGAGAGAATTCTCTTAGTCTACATCAACTCATTCTACAATAAGATTTTTTGAATGGTTATCAGTTTGATCAGTAAGCTTATTGTGATTTGTTTCTGTAATGACAAATGAAAATCTCAGTGCATGAAAACAATCCTAGATATTTAAGTGATATCATAGATATTTTTGAGTTATTTTGATACTATATGAAACAAGAGTTTGTCTCATTTAATATTCGTCAGGCAAATAGATATGCATTAGTCACTGTGGAGACTATAATTTAAACTAGAAAAAAGATGAATTGCGTCTTTCATCAGTAATCTTTACGACGTACTAAGTAAAAATTACATGCTTTCAATATCCGACTTTAACTTTTAACAACAAAAATGGAACTTCAGTATGAAGGTTAGTTACATGCACTGTATAGTTTATCCGTCATAGGAAAGTTTACCTACGAGATCTAATTGAAACCAATTGTATAAAATACTAAGTTTTTTGTTAAGTATTTGTTGATCCAACGTGATATAGGCAAGTATTTATTCTTTTGAGTAATTCATTGATATACGAAGAATGATATATTATTTATTTTCAACTATTAATTGAGTACGGATATGCGTAATTGTTTACCTTGTTGTAAGTGGCATAGGTGTCAAACATTTTACATGAGTTTTAAACAATTTTCATGCACTTAGTGAAAAATTTCTCTGAGTCTACTAACGACTTAATGTTTCGTAAATTCAACTAAATGACTCATCTATATTTCACTTGAAAACTACCGTTAAGTTAATTTTCATGTTTGCATACACAAAAAATTTATATGTTATCAAATAATCTCATACTCAATAAATTTCCAGTGAAATATTAATCTTTATTTGAAAATGAATTTAGACTTTCTTTTCATCAGTTATCAGTTCATTTTATTGCATCAAATTTTCATTGTGAAGTTGAATTCGGTAAAAGCTGTGCTTAAACTTATTAGTTGTGTTTATACTTTCTAGTATTGTGTACTAAATATTAAGTTATATGAATCAATTCTGTTCTATAAATTTATTTTAATGAAGTTGTTTTATGTTTATTGGGAGATGTGTTGTTGTTATTAGAGAACGAAATGGAATGAGTGTAATACAATTAGTCTTTAACCTCTGTTAAAACTCTAATTAAAACAAAATACAAGATGCTCTGAGCTACAAAATATTCACATTTATCTTTCTCATGTTCGTCTAACTCTTTATCAGTCACATCATGATATAGTTTGGTAACTTTATCAGATTTACAGTTAGGGTTAAGTTTTGTTTTACTATGACTTGAGAACAATTTCGTTACATTCTATAGTAATAGACATATATCTTGATTCAGTATATTCACTTTTGATGTCCCCTTGAGAAGAGCGATTTTCTACACGAATTATTTATATCTGTATTCACTTTTATTTGATATCGTAAAGTCAATGTTAAAGAGTAATTCTAACCTTTATTTTCTGGCAGTTTTGAGAACTTTAGATTTGCAGATAGGATCTTTACAAACACTGAATACTCTTTTATTTCAGTTACATTTCAGAAGGATGATAATTTATTTATCTTCATTATAAGTAAAAATAAGAGAAATTCAAAAGCTTAGTCGTCTTCGGTAATCAAAAAAAGGTTGCCAATTATCTACTTTAACATCATTTCTTCATTGTCTGTTGAATCTGTATTGTTTGTAGATACAATTAAAGTTGAAGCAACATAATTTAAAAAAACATTATAATGAATAAGATTCTGGGCTTAAATGTGACATTTACTGACACAGGATCACTAACCTATTATTCTTCTTTACTACTAAAGACTTAAGATTTGGTCATCATTATCCTCACAGAATGAATGTACTTTTTCGAGGCTTCAAAAAGTTATTTATCTATTTCCAAAGTTTTATTTGATAATGAAAATAAATTACACATAATTATATCTCCGGTATATTGATGTACAATATTCTCTGCAATAATAACGGGAAAACTGTACCTGAAATCGGATAAAACAGTCATAATAATATTGCAATATAAAATATTTTCTATTTCATTAATTAACATTGTTTAAATCTTTTTTTGTTTTTCAGGCGCTTATAGATTGTTTTGCCTTTGTACCATTTATTTGTGTGCTCATAATAGTGATTATTCTAATTGCTTTATATTTACCGGAAACAAAAGGATTCAATCCAGTTTATATTGAATCAGTTTTCAAAGCTCAGTGTAAACATTCAACTCTTATGCCGGTCAGTTAAAGTACCTTTAACCCTAAAAATATTTTTATATCAAAAGACTAAAAGCTAAATATTACATTATATTTCATATTAAAACTATGCAAAATATATACATATATGTATATACTGTGAAGGGTAGTTTTGTGAAAATTTTTGTACATTTTGATGATCATTGTTATCATAGATTCTGGTCAGTTGATCAACTATTGACAGTCATTAAGCATTAGTGGCTACTGAAAAGATTCAAAATGAATGTTTCGAAATTCTAGTGCACAGCTATGAACTGTAGACTTGACAAAATTGAGAATCAGGCAATAATGTGAAGCCACATTAGGGTTGCAATATTCTATACATAAACATAATCGTTAATGCAAAAAGCCACTTAAGGAGCCAGTAAAACAGTTTATTCTTATTTCCCCATCCCTCCGAAAAGAAACTAGAGGAAATTGAGATTTCTAGAGATATGATATCAAAGTTAAACAAGTTTTATTCCCTTTCAATTAACACATAACTACTTATTCAACTTCTGTTAACTAGATTAATATAATGTAACTGAATGAAAATTGTATTTCATCTGTTCAATTGATAATTCATTGCGTACTTAGCAGCAATTGATTATTTGCATTATTTTTATAGTTTCACTAGATAAAAAACTCACAAAAGAAGTCTAATGATTTTAGTGAGTCAGTTAAAGACTTTCGAGGTGTTTTATAAGAAACTTCTAATGAATTAAAATGTTTATTGAGATATTGCGTAGTTTGTTACACTAAATGGAAGTATCTTTAAGTTATTTTCATTAGATGTATTGGTCTATAGCTTTTGCATGAGTTAATATCACTTAATCAGTTGGTTGTTTACATAACGTGTTCGTAAATATTTTGTATTTTAGTGTGCAAATTTTTTACTTCGAAGATCAGTGATTTAGAAATTAAGTCTAGTTTTTCCAATAGCAGCTTTAATAAATTACTTTAATACCTTTCATATGAAAAAAAACTGGAAATTTGTACCGTTTTTCTATTATTACTTAGAACTAAATGTGTAAATCATTAGACTGTTAACAAAACTAATGAAAACTGTTAGGTTTTGAAATTATACTTGCTTGTGCGAATGACTAACCTAAGCCTTTCTGTTTAACAATGATAGCATTAAACCATAAGCTTGAATAATAAACGAAACTTCTTCATTTTTAATAAAAGTAAACTTTGGTTAGAGGTTCGTAAGAATTTTCAAAACAATTCATATTCATGATTTAGTAATTTAATTAACTGCATCACTAAAATTTGTAAACTATCTGACGGTTATTTTCTCACTAACAGTTATAAATCTATAATATACACATTGCTGTAAGTGAAACCATTTTACCCATTAAGGCATTTTATTGAAATAAAACCTTCTGCTATACACAGATGATTATTGCTCATCGAGTAGTAATCGACGTGATGTTTGCCATATTCTGTATATTGGTCGAATTCCATCAATTACGTAAAAATGTGGTGACCAGCATAGGTGACTTAGAATTATGTTTACTATATTTGGACGTTAGATGTTGAGAGGAAAACGATAGGAAGCTCTGGACTTTTTCTTCTCATTAATTTGCATTTATCAGCAAGATATATTTGGTATTTTTAGGTGAATTGATTAGACTGGTGATTATATCAAAATCTTAATCGATAGAAAGACAAGAAACTAGTTGCTCTAAAGAGATGAGGAAGTTTAATTATCCCAGTCATATAGCGGGTCACTCGTTATGCGACTAGTTCAGTGGTGACGTCAGTGACTGTGACTATAGACTTCTTACCGTCTGATTTCAAAATTAGACCACTGTGTACGAATGTTTCATCGAAAAATAAATATCGTACTAATATCTTGGGTAGTTCAAATATAACTGCGTCAAAATCAATATCATCTGAAAGTCAAAATAATTTTTTATATACTTCAGTAGAACTCACATTATTGGTGTGAGTAAATAAAGCATCGATTTGTATGTTGGTTGTATTAAGCATAGGTTTCTCTTGTTAAGTGTTCAAGAGTGGTTCTTACAATATAAGTCTTATTATGAAGTGAGATACTGCTAAATTCGTATTGTGTCTACATGTCTTAATCAAGGTTAAGATATTGGAACCGCTATGATATATTACTATACAATCAGATGTATATACATCCTATTAGACTGAGTAAAACATTCATTTTGTCTCAAATTGGATAGTTTTGTTGTAGCCCAAATATTATAATTGGTCAATTATTAATGTTTTTGTCTTGACAATATATTGAAAATAGTATTAGTTCTTGAACTAAAATAAAACCAAAATGACACGAGATAGTATATGTATTTTAAATACGCCTTCATTTAGTTGGTCTTTCGATTTGTTTTTTTCGCCGACACTTTATCTCATTTCTAAGTTGTTCTTTCTTTTTCTTAAATTCATGCTGTGAAATAATCATTCAAATAATCAGTATTTCGTACTGATCAATACTGAATGAACTATAATGTCACACCTTAATTTTCCATTCTCTTTTTGTTGGTAGTAACAAAATTTAATTTCAATTTGTTTCAAATATTATTAAATTTAAACTGAGATTTGTTATAAAGAAAAAATCTTCATTAGCTAATTTCATTATGTTTACTTATAATTGAACAATAGAATACATAATTACATTGTTATCTTAGTATCTTAAGTCATTAGATATGAAGAATAAAACTTTTCATTATTATAATTTCATTTAGTCTATTCATATATTTGCTAAATGAGGAAATTAATTTGTAAGTGATCTATATATTAATCATTCAGTTATTTTATTATATGACCTATACTTATACACTTATTAGATATAAAATCTAAAGTACAAAATTCATTTTAATATTATTACAAATTGAATAAGATATTTACATATTAATAGCATAATACAAGTTACAATATTGTATTATTATGCAATTGTTCATTGAATAAAATTCTCATTAAGATATTGAATTGTAATTGAATATAACAGTTAAATTTACTTTAATTTGTATATATGTTTTATGATAAATTTATCTAAATACTTAATAAAATTTCATCTTAAATATAATCACTACTTATATGATTATGTGTAATTCACTTAAGTGTTTCTTTTGCATAGATTTTCCATATGTATCCAATGGAAACATTTTTAATTAATCATAAAGTAAACATATTCAATAGGCAAATTGTGATTAAATTAATAATATAGGTTGTTTCATTGATATGATTATAATTAGTTGAATATATATAAATATATTTGTCCATAATTTCAGGGTGATCCAATTTTCACATCATTAATCAATAGCTTAAATAAGGCAGAGCTTTTAAATGAAATATAAATATTTACAAGATCATTTCTATGCTCTGTTTATAATGACAATCTGATGATTTCAACTAATTTAGATTAATTTAATAGTTTATTTGATATTTTCAGATAGGGGTTTGGTGGATATTATAATGATTTTTAATAGTTGAACTGATGAGTCAATTGAAGCCAGACCACCATGGAAAACCCGAAAGCACTGGACGGTCGTTTCGTTTTAGTATAGGATTCCTCAGCAATGAGCATCCACGATCCCGAAATTAGACATTTACATCGTTGAATGTCTGATCAGTGGTCTGGAGATTAAGCGCTTGTACGCGAGACTGATAGGTTGTGGGTCCGAATCTCGCGGTATGGGATCGTGGATGCACATTTCTGAGGAGTCCCATACTAGAACGAAACGGCCGTCCAGTGCTTCCAAGTTTTCCATGGTGGTCTAGCTTCAATTGATTCATGAATTCAACTATTAAAAATTCTTTAATATTTGTTTTAAACAGTGCCAATTGTTTCCATATTTTTCCTTTTTTTCTTTTTATTTTAGATAAAACGATTTTAATCATCAGTTAAAATTATTTAAAATTATACAAATCAGTGCAGTACCATCATTGAATTCGATTTGTAAACGTCACTTTGAAATGTTTTATATTACAGTAAAATGATCAATAAAATTATCCCGTTGATTAATATTGATTCATAATACACTTCTGATCATAAAACAAAATATGACTGTTTATAGCAGATATAATTATTCGATTGTTTTTATCATTTATTCATATTAACTAAATTTTTGTTTATTAATTTAATAAAATTTAATGATTTAGAGTATTTTTTCATTGATTATTATCTAAAGTCATGGATACAATAATAATAAAATAATTTAATGAAAAAAAATTTGTTGCCAATTCATTATTTCAATTTTGTTTAATCAAGTAAATGGAAATTAACTTTTAAAGCAGATTAAATAAATCGAGTATTCATTTGATAATTGTGAAGTTTTTGGTATAATTTACTAAAAAATATAACCTTTTTAATTAAATTTTATTGTGAATTTTGATGGATGAAGTATCAAGGTGATGTGCTTGAATATCTGGGTTACCTGTTCCTGACATCTAGATATTTCAACAAGTTATCTGTTTTCTTGTTTGTTTTAACACATCCTTATGCCTATTAGTCGCATAACCTATTCAGGTGCGTTTGTGAAAGGTTGATGACATTTTGCTGCATAACTTACAAAAGATCCTAATCAGAGACATCGTGGTTGTTGACAATATGGATCGAAAATAATATACATTGTTCAGATGTCGATTCCTGAGCTGATAATATCTAACTGGCGATCACTCAGTATTTATCGCAAGAATCAGTCAAAAAATAAGAAAAGGAAACTTGTTGAAAGAATTTGTGCTGAGAATTCTATATTGTACCAAAAATATAATATTGAGTAAAGCCATCAATAATAATTCATTGAAGTAAACTTCGGTTAAAGTTATTACTGAGATAGTTTTATAGATGAATTTCAGCTACGTCTGTGTAGAATTTCCAATCCTTCCACATTTTATAACAATCTCATTCGTATACAGAATGTGGTAACTGACATTATATCTATCATAATTATTTATAATGTACTCTCTAAAGACGTGTCTTTGTTAAAGTTATAATTTAAAGTATTGAAACGAACTAACCTTTTGAAAACGTCTAACCGGGAAAAAATTATTTTTCATGCTATCACCGAGTGGAAAGTGGACTATATGTTTTCATTTGTTTTTCTATTAAGGACGTGTTCGTATAAGGGTTTGTGTAGGTTGTTGAATCTTTAAAGTTCGTATTACGGATAACTCTTAGTTAGACTACCATTGAAAGTCACAAGACAGTGAGCAGCCATTTCGTTCTAGTATGTGACCCCTCAGCAGTAGATGTGCAGGACCTCGTTAAGGGTGACCAAACCCGGAACCTTTAGGTTTCAGGGTAAGCACCTAAACTTTATGCATCTGAGTCCCAACCAAAGGCGTGCATGTCTAACTACAGTCATTTCAGGATATTACTCCACCCCTTGCCATTGTCTTCGATGGGTAGTTTCCTCACATTCAACATGATCAAACTTCACTGTTTACGGGTTCTTACTAGAATTTCTGGAATAATCCCTTGATATTAATCCTTAATGAGCACGTGATTAGTAATAATAATCATTCTAGTCCACTGATTTCTGATTTTTAACGGTTGTTTTACTAAATGTCTGTAATGTAAATTATGAAGCGATATAATTTAATCAGGGATCAAGTGAAAGTGAGTTCATTTTTATGAATAATTAACCATGCGTCTGTTGAATCTGTTCACAGAAAAATACACCAGTTTTTCAAAAAAAGACTTTCAGAAATTCAAAAACTTATTTATTTTCGGGATGTTTTACACTCACTGAAAACGTTTTAATCCACTGAAATAGTTATTAAGAACATTTTAATGTAAATAGATAAAGATTATCATTTTACAAAAACTTTTTTTTCACAGATTGAAATCATGAATCATTTGAAGCTAGACCACCATTGAAAACCTGGAAGCACTGGACGGCCGTTTCGTCCTAGTATGGGACTCCTCAGCAATGCGCATCCACGATCCCGCACCACGCGGGGCCCGAACCCAGGACCTACTGGCTCCGCGCGCGAGCACTTAACCACTAGACCACTGGGCCGCCATTCAACGGTGTTAATGTCTAACCTCAACCAATCCACGAAGTTGCGCCACCGTACACCATTGTCTTCAGTGAGTTCCTATCTCATAACAGACCTGGTTGAACTCCACTGGTAACGGCTTCTCACTAGAACTTCGGGAGTTTTTCCTGAAGTCAGTCACTAGTGAGTAGTTGATTATTATCAGAATGGGTTTTGTGGAGATTTTAGAAATTTCACAGATTGAAATCATGAGTCAGTTGGTGGTCTAGCTTCAACTGACTCATGATTTCAATTTGTGAAATTTCTAAAATCTCCACAAAACCCATTCTGATAACTTTTTTTTCGTTTTTTTATCGACTTTGATGTACAATATTTCTATGATGTCGAGTATGTAAAGTAAATCTAAACTATATAGTTTTAAATAACTTCCTGGTAAATTTTCACTTATATAGTCAAAAGTGAGAGTTCATTACTTATGGACATAATTTTCGTTTAGAACCCTCAGCAATACATAACACTGTCAGTATGCAGTTACATTGTAAACTTGCAGTACATGTTGCGTAAAAGCTGGTTGTGGTCTCCTAATTTAACATATTATATGGTTAAACACCATCCAAGGATGTCAGCAGCTAGATTGTAGTTCAGTTTTAGATTGATAACAGGCTTCCGCCTTTGCTCTTCTAGGGCTGCTGAAGGTCCCAAGACCTGGTAAAGGAGAAGGGTTGGGCGTAGGGTCGGCAACCTTGCTAAAAAGCACTAAAAAGAGTAAGTCTAGTTTTTAGCATGTGATCTACTATGAATTTACATTACTTTTGAAATGAAATCTGAAATAAAGCAATTAACCAATGGAAACAGTTTTCATTGATTTTTAAATAAGCCTCCCACAGTTACACGACTAAATTCTTTATTTGGTTTGCATGAATACATGTGAACTCAAAGGCCAAAAAGTGTTTGAGATACTTTATTAGCGATCTTTAAACAACATAATAACTACCAGTAAGTAGTTTTGTTTACCTGACAATATCATCCTAAACAGAAAACCAGTAAGAATGATACTAATGACAGTATTAGTTTATGATATTATTCTATAGTATATTTAAACAAAGTAGGACAATTAATGTATTACCTTAACATGATCGCTGAAAACGTTTTCTCCTCCTAGAAAAACAGTTCTCATTCAAGTGGGCATTGAAAATTTGTCTAGATACGGCACGTGAAATGTTTATTTTTGTGAAAAAGGTAATGAACTTTCGTCAGAATTTCTACAGGGTAATTTTAGTAAATAGTTTTAATTTGATGTATAGGATTTCTACAATAACAATTACATAATTTGAAACCAAAATGCCAGGATAAATTTGTTACACTTTTAAAGATTAATTGTGCTAATCGATATCTCTGCATGTTATTACAAATTTATATCCATTCAAGTTGAACTAGTTAGAGCTAATAGGGGGAGGGGCAGTGAGCTTTATTTCCATAATTAGAAAGTTTAATTTTATCTACTTTTCTTCTAATAGTTTTTAAATTTATAGAAAACATTTATTTGTAATTTTGGATCAAGTAATGTCAGTCACTTAGCTGAACATAAAGTAGAACATGGTACTTGTGTACATTAGTTCAAGTTACTATGACCGAACGGCCAAACGAGATAAAATTGTTAGGGGAAATCCTGGGGTAGTAACAGTATAAGTGGCAATAGATGAAATTAGGCATCGGAGATGTGATTCAACAAAATCGTATGAAATGGACGTGTAGAAACTTAGTCAAAGATAAAGTGACACTCGATTCATCGCTTAATAGTTTACCTATGCATGTTACACCTCGTGGAGAAACATAGGCTACCCACCAGCATTCTCCATACAACTCCGTCCTGGACAATACTTTCCACTTGCTATTCATCCTTTTCATGTCTGCTTTCAATTATCGATGCAGTGTTTCCTCTGGCCTCTCTGTTTCCTTTCAGGAATCCAGTTTGGCGATTTTTCATGGTGCAGTTTGTTGATTTCCGTAATATATGCCCTATCCACTTTCGGCGTCTTTTCCTAATTTCCTCTTCAGATGGCAGCTGGGTTGTTCTCTCACACAGTAATCTGTTGCTGATGTTATCTGGTTAACGAAGATTGAGTATGTTATGCAGGTGATTGTTTAGAAATACCTGTAAATTTTTGATGATGGTTGCAGTAGTTCTCCAGGTTTCAGCTCCATACGGTAGAACTGTCTCGACGTTCGAATTGAAGATTCCGACTTTGATGTTGATTGACAGTCGTTTCGAGTTCCACATGTTCTTCAATTGTGCGAATGCTATCCTTGCTTTCCCAATTCTTGCATTTACGTCTGCATCGAATCCTCCTTGTTCGCTGATGATGTCGTTCAGGTACGTGAACGTTTCCAACTCTTCCAGAACTTCTCCATCAAATGTGATTGGTTTGGTGTTATCCATGTTGTATTTGAGGACCTAGCTTTATCCCTTGTGTGTGTTGAGGCCGAATGATGCAGAGGCTTCTATTACACTGGTTGTTTTGACCTGCATTTGATCGTGTGTATGGGAGGGAAGAGCTAGATCACCTGAGAATTCAAAATGGTCTAGTTGCATCCAAGTTGTCCATTGTACTCCGTGCTTCCATTCAAATGTGGAGGTCTTCATAATCCAGTCAACCACTAGAAGAAAGAGAGAGGGTGAGAGTGGGTAGACTTGTCTGACTCCGGTCCTAACTTGGAATGCGTCTGTTAGCTGTCCCACCCATGCACCACTTTGCAGTGTAGTTCGTCTTCTGAATTTCGTATTATGTTGACGATCTTCTCAGGTACACCATAGTGTCGGAGAAGTTTCTGTAGTGTTCTTCATTGTACGGTGTCAAACGCTTTCTCATAATCAAGGAAGTTGGTGTAAAGT